AAACTGTCAAACACAGTCGCGCTCGGACAGTCCTTGGATGGGGATCCTATTTAATTTAAAGTACATCCTAATTTAAAGTGACCTGCGCTCTGTGCACAGGACCACACGCCACCACAACTGAGTCTTATTTAATGTAAAATACATCCTAATTTAAAGTTCTTCCTACGTGGTTTTAATCATATCTGGCTTAACTCGCATAATAGCCAGTAGCCAAAGGGGTGGTGCAAGTCCAGCTGCGGTACCATACAGATAGCATCAGTACCGTAACTCCCCATAACCCCTCGAGTGGTGACCAAAATATGGTTGCAGATGACCTGTAGCCCATATATATAGTATAAATTTATGGTATGAATTTATTTTTATGAATAATTCTGTTTTATTCTAGTTTTTAACATCCTTTTGTTGACAGCTTTTGTGTAGTCTTTCTGTTTATTTTTAATGTATAACGTTGTCAGTATATGGCTAAAATTTAACTCAATCATTCACTCCCTTTATAAACTGTGCAGAGTGACAGTCTGTGGAGAACGCTTTAGTTGAGATCCATTTCCAATAACTTAACGATCAGACGTCTATATTACCCTGATCCGAAAAATAAATTTCATTATGTATACAATGTCTCCTCTTTGGCTACGGGGTCTCAACAACTTGTACTGTTGAGACCTATAAACCTACATATTATTGGGACTTCCGAGACACATATGCCCGTATGTTACAGAAAAACACGACCTATGGACACATACCTCATCACGAGTCTGGCTTGATGTAATCCTAGTATGATCTCTTTGTCTCGGGAGGATATAACACGCAATGAATAATAGTCTAGGGCCTATAGGGGACTATCTGTGTTTCTTTTTCATTTGTGCAACATCGTTGAAAACAACGAACATTCATCAGTATAGACGAATATATAATATAACTTCAAGTGCGTATTCAAAGTTTTGCTGCTTGTGCTATCAGAATAGGTATGAGCCGTTAATGGTTATATATGTCATTGTCATAATTCGTTTTCAGGACAATTTCTAATGTACAATGCTAAATGAAATCACGTTTAAGATTTTATTGATTTGGTGCTTTTTCGCTTCTTGTATCCATACGTGGGTTCTGGGTTAGTGTCATGGTTTAAACACTTAATCATAAGACCTGGGTTCGATTCCTTAGATCGATACTATATGTGGAATTGCTTGAATAATTACTCACCTCACCCAAATAAGACGTACGTTACATTGTGCAAATGAGAATAAATAGGAACGGCTTCCTTCTTTACATTGCCGCTTCAGCTTATCGCGTTTTTTAAAAAGTTTCAATTTAACAAAACTACTTTTTTTTGTACAATTGTTTGCAGGGTGCCATTCTCAGGTCAAACATATTCACATAGGATAATGTTATGTATTACTAAAGCAAAACCTTGTCCTAAACATTGCAGGAGTGCTCCGAGGCTGTAGTTGGGGCGTTGGGGTAGCCAAGTGGTTAAGACGTTCACTCGTCACGCCGAATGCCGGGTTCGATTCCCCACACGGATACAATGTCTGGAGCCCATTTCTGGTGTCGCCCGCCGTGATATTGCTGGAATGTTGCTAAAAGCCACGTAAAACTAAACTCATTCACTCACTCTGTTAGACCTGCAGATATGCACCAGTAGGTGTTCGCTAATCAAAAAATGATTGGTTGAAACTCACTTATATGGCTGACAAGTGCATATATTACGTATCCCACCTCAGCCACTGGTGTTTATATAGTATGACCAGAAATTATTGAGAATTTTAGGAATATGTTTAATTGGATTTCTTGTATAAACAACCTTGGCCAGCTATCAAGTGCTTGGTTTCATTCAAGAGAGACAACTCCGTTAATCCTTTGTCATTAGTTTGTGAAGAGTTATCCCCCTTTGTTTACTTGCTAGCAGATGACATTTTCAGTGATCCTCAGTATGGATGATTTAGAGAAGAGGAAGTTGATTTTAGAGAATTATAACAAGGACATCAGATCAGCTAAAGTGATTTCAAGTAGAACAGGCATCCCTTTGTCCACTGTTTATCGTGTTTTGAAAAATATTGCAAACGGATATGGCATTGAGCACCAGGGAGGCGCAGGTAAGCCCAGAAAATTGACTGTCGGTGACAGGAGGCGGCTTGGTATTCTTGTTTCTAAAAACAAACGAAGGAGTTTAGAAAACTTAAGGCTGGATATGATTGATAGAGGAACTGTGGCTGTCTGTAAGGAGACAATTAGAACTGAGCTGCATGCAATGGGTTGGCAGAAAAGTCGAGGAATTCCATCACCGATCATGAAACATGAACAAATGGAGCGAAGGTTGAACTGGTGCTTACAGCATAGACATTTTAACTGGGACAATGTGATTTTCTCAGATGAAAGTTTTGTGTGGCTGTTTCCTAATACACTGAAATTCTGGACCAAACAAACTGAAAAACCTTTGTATCAGCGCCCAAAGTACAGTCCGAAATTTAATGTGTGGGGTGGCATATCTGTATATTTGAAGGGAATATGAACAGTGAGCGGTACACAGATATTCTCGAGGGACATTTACTTCCATCTGCTCACGTGTTCTATGGAAATATTTGGATTTTCCAGCAGGACAACGACCCAAAACATCGTTCAAAGCATTCACAGGCCTAATTTTGGATCCAAAATATGACATTATGAGATTGGCCAAGCTATAGCCCTGACCTAATCCAATAGAAAATGTTTGGGGACTTATGAAGGAAAGTGTCAATAAGAAAGATCTGACAAATATTGCTGAAATGAAAGAAGAGGTGGTCCGATATCGGGACAGCATGGACCAGGACTTTCTAACTTCTTTGTTCAGTAGTATGCCCCGCCGCATTGAAGCCTGCATTGCTGCCCATGGTGACTTGACAAAATAATAACTGTTCACCTGTCCTTGAATCTGGAGTTATGTTCTTCTAATATTCACATTTAATACGTGAGTAATGAGTGCAAAAAAAAAATTACAATCTTTAAATTCTCAATAATTTCTGGTTGTACTGTATAATATGTAGACTTTGGTCGTGAATATACGTGATAGTTCCTACGTATGTTGATTTGTTATCATTGAATTACAAAATATATTGCCTGTTCATTAGATACACGGATGGTTTATTTGCTGTATTATGTTCAGCACTTGTCCATAAATATTTATAAAAGCATTGACAAACAAGCAGATATGGATGCGCAGAATATACACACTACTATAATTACAATATATAGTTGGTGTGTTGGTTGGTTTGTTGTTTAACGCCGCACTTAGCAATATTACAGCTATATGTCTGTAGATAATTGAGTCTGGACCAGATAATCCAGTGATCAACAGCATGAGCATCGATCAACGTAACTTGGATACGATGACATGAGTCAACCACGTCAGCGAGCCTGACCACCCGATCCCATTTGTCCCCTCTAGTAGGGTGATCTACCTTCAGTTGTTGGTGATCTATAGCCTATTTATATATTGTGTTGTCCCCTATAGTTAAAATGTTTTAGATTCAATTACTAGTTTTACATGTATATCTGTGATACCCTAGTTGCTTTACTGTCCTTTGTCGGCCGGTTTTTATACTATCTATATATATTCTATTTCAATGTCAAGTGTTCTCGTCACGATATGGCTGAAATATTGCCGATGTGACGTTAAATAATAACTCACTCACTCACTCACTCGTCACGATATGGCTGAAATATTGCCGATGTGACGTTAAATGATAACTCACTCACTCGCTCATTTGTCGCCTCTTACGACAAGCATGGGTTACTGAAGACCTGTTCTAATCCGGATTTCACGCGTACGGGTCCCATTCGCTAAAAGAGGAACATCAGAAAACGTGTGGACCAGTGATAGATATACTGTACAGTTTAGTTGAAATATTGCATAACGCCTCTCATTCAGAATGTGTTGGGGTTTTTTTTGTGAACAAAAAACAACCTATCCTACTCCTGGGGTTTAAAAGTGGAAAGGGTAATTATTTTTGCATTTAGGCGAGGTGATCACATATACAACACGGCACTGTGAAGGTGAACGGTTGACAACGGTAGCACGGTTAACAAGTATAAAAAACGCGATTCTTTAAACAATTGTTGGATGTAGGTTACAACATTCAAAGCCTCTGGAATAAGTATGATGGTATACGGGGCTCACATTTCAATATTAAATTTACTGTATACAAGTCCCCAAGGTCCCTAGAGTTGTGGTCTACCTTCAGTTGTTGGCGGTCCTCAGCCTTCTTTATATTGTATTGTCCTAATCTGACATCCTATTTAAGAGATATATGCTACTGTTATTTCTTGATATTGTGATATTCTAGTCTGTTTTACTGTCCTTCGATCACAGGTTTTATAATTTCCCATAAATTACTATGTATAACAATTAAATGTTCTCGTCACGATATGGCTGAAATATTGCCGATGTGACTAACAATTATAACTCACTCACTATACCTTCATGTACACGTCTATATATGTCTGTGTGTGTACATATGTTGTGAACATGTAAGTATTCTCTCTTCCAGCATTGAGTCTCTCATTAGCAATTTATTATAATATATAAAAGGAAATCTACTTTTGTGATTATGCCTAAAAAATGTGTTTCTCAATTTCTAATGCATGTGCACATCACCTTATAGTAGCCACGTACACAAACAAATCAATTTTTCAGGAATAAACTTCTTTTTCCATATATTTGATACCCCTAGGGTATGTTTATCTTTCAGTTGTTGGAGACTTATATATTAACATGTATATTGTACGTCATAACATTTCAAAGGATAAATCATAATCTGAATCTATTTATATTTACTGTCCTCACAATCGTTAAATGCTTCTGGAAAGTTATTCGCTATATTATAACAAAATACATAGATACTATTACTCTGCGTGTCCTATAACATCATCAATTTAATGATGAACATATAAATATCCTGTTGTCTTCAAACGTTCAACCGAATACCAGTGACGTTTTTACCTAACCATAATTTGCTCTATCTTTCCAGGGTCAAAAAGGGCGAGTCAGGCACAAAGCAAAGTAACCAAACATGATTACACTGAACCATGAAGAAGGTTCAAGGGAGGAATATCCCGTCCTTATCGAATCACATGGCCAGTGAAATTATTACTCTAATCATCCGTGCTTGATCAAGTACCTACACAAGATTAACCATGGAGGCTAACCTCACTACCGAATCGAGCAATATTTCCAATAATTCGGCTTGGCAAGCGGTGGAAAGTGTTACATTCGACATCCAAACGTATTATCTCTGGGTTATTCTCGCCTTGGGATTCCCCGGTAACTGTGCAACCATCGTTACAGTCATTAAGATGTCCCCTGCCAGATCGCTAACCGTATACATAGCACTTCTAGCTGTTGTGGATAATCTCGCAATCGTCAATAAACTTCTGTTGTTTGTTTTACCCGATAAAGGAGTGCATATTGGAAACTTCGGCTGCAAAATTCTTGGGTACTTCGGAAACTTCCTCATCACATTTGCCAACTGGTTACTCGTGGCCATGTCTGTGGAAAGGTTCGCTGCTGTGTGGTTCCCGTTCAAAGTTGGACAAAGCTGGACGTTCAAAAAGTCTCTAACAGCAGTGGTTCTTGTGGCGCTGCCCTTGAGTGTGTTGTTCCTGCATCTCTTCTGGATCATGACTTTCATTGTGGAGGATACTGGCGTGTTTTGTGACATCCACGAAGAATATAGACATTTCATGATGCACATATGGTACTGGATTAATGTTATGATATATGCTGTGGTACCCTGTATCCTCTTGCTGCTGTTCAACCTGTTGATCGTCATGGGGATTGTGAGGTCGGCACGCGCTCAAAAGTACTTAAAGAGTACTCGTGGTAACAAGAGTGGCTCATCCGCCGTTGACCGCCATCGGCCAATTACAATCATGTTAGTAACAGCGGCTGTGACGTTAGTAGTGCTAACCACGCCGAGGTGCGTTATGCTAATTCTCACACCCTACTGGACTCCCCCGCTCAACAGCATGCGAGGTGCCGTAAAGTTCCTAATAGACACCATTGCATTTCTCTTGTGTGATTTAACGCATGCCATCAACTTTTATGTGTATTCTCTCAGTGCGAAGAGCTTTCGGCGCCAGTTCTTGGAACTGTTTTTATGCCACAAAAGAGATAAAGCAACAAACAGCACACAATATGTGTCTCTAACGTCCCGTGCTTCTGTGAAGATAAACATGACCTCCTTAAATGGAGAAAAACCAATACTACATTTTTCAAAGAGCATTGAAGACTGATAAACTTGACAATGATGACTATTTGTGCACCATGGCACCATTGTACCGTATAGCTGATGTTCCCGAGGAGACGATCATTAGTAATTTCAGTGTTTAGATTACGACTAATTTGTGAAACTGACAAACATTTTGACCTTACATGACAAGCTTGTGTTTGTGTCATTAGCTCCTGGACTATCAGCGATGAATGCTCAGAATAATACTAAAGAGTCGATAGAGATTTACCGTCGGACAATGACATATGATTGCACAAAGTATGAGACACATACATTGTAATGCTTGTAATCATGATAACAGTAAAATGGTCACTGAATATAACTGCTTCAATTTCCTACTTATGCATTATGTTATGGCAACAGAAATATTTCCACAAGCGCAATATATTTTTACGATTCCGACTATGTCATGAATATGCAACATTTATAACACCCGGTGTTCGCTAAAACGTTAGCTTCTTCCCCACCTGCGGCACATCTCGCAAATCCATGCAAAGGCAAGGAAAACGTGTTGGGTTTGCACATTCCGCTACATATTTATCGTTAAACCTTTAGAGTGAGTGAGTTACGATTTTAAGTTACATCGGCAGTATTTCAGCCACATTGTAACTAAAACAAGTTATAATTTCACAATAAGTAAAGGTAACTTAGTAAAACCTGTCAGCTAAGTACAGTAAAAACAGCTAGAATATCACAGATATCAATATAAAACTTGTATGTCAGTCTAAAATATGTCAATTACAGAAGACAAATACAGGCTATATATTGCCAACAACTGAAGGTAGATCACCATACTATGAACCATGGGGACTTACAGCACCTTTGCTACATACTACATGAGAATCCATATACGATAATGGGATACAATGACAAGCATCAAGCAAGTCAGCGGTCCCAGAAGAACCGACTACTTCTAACCCGGGTCTGGATTAAGACTTGGAATGTTGTAACCTGTATCAAACACCTTGGAGTCATACCATGCATTACCACCTGCTTGCGATATGCCTCTGGATAGCAATTGAAACATGCATTAAAACCTTTCAGGGAGAAACAAATCAGGAGTGTGTTTGCACATTACCGAAAACTGAAGGCATTATATGCACAATAATTTATTTTACGTCTACATCTTGCCCTGGATATGCATGTATATGTACTCGCATTGAACGAAATACGATAACACCATTATGAAAAAGAAGGATAACAAGCATGATGTCGAATACATTGTTGAGTGAGTGAGTGAGTTGATATTTATCGTCACTGCGGCAATATTTCAGCCACATCGTGATGAGAACAATGAATAGTTATATTATAGATCAATAACATGAGAAAAATAAAAGCCTGTTGACGAAGAACAGTTAAACTACTAGTGTATCACAGATAAGCATTTAAAACTAGTAATTAAATCAAGAACATTTTAACTAGAAATGACAAGATTGCCAACATCTGAAGGTAGATCACCATACTATGGACCATGGGGACTTACAGTACATTTGCTTCCTGTATGGGCCGAGTACATTGTTACTTTAATCCCCAAATAATCGTTTTACTCAAAAACATCTCTTATGTCTTGTTAAGTATAATCCTTCCAGTGCATACCTGTGAAGACCCGGTTAGAGTGAGTGAGTTAAAATTTAAAGTCACATCTGCAATATTTCAGCCATATCGTGACTAAAACTAGTTCTAAATTTATAGTACATACATATAATATATAAAACCCTGTTAACGAAGGGCAGTAAAACCACTAGATTATCACAGATTGAGTTAAAACTAGCTAGCATATATCTTGAAAAGTAGAAAAAAAATTCTGGACAATACAATGTAAAATTGGGCTATAGATCGCCAAACAACTGAAGGTAGATCACCATACTAGGGACCATGGGGACTTACAGTGCCTTTGCTACCTGCATGGACCCTAGTTGGATTTACACCATCCCTTCAGCCCCTGGCGATTGTAGGACAGACCAGGTTAGAATTGTATTCAGCAACCAATGTAAGAGGCGACTAACTGGGTCGTGTGATTAGGCTCGCTGACTTGGTTGACAAATGTGAGCGTATCCACATTGCGTAGGACGATGCTTATGATGTTGATCACTGAAGTATCTGGTCCAGACTCAATTATTTACAGACCGCCACCATATAGATGGAATGTTGTTGAGTGCGGCGTTAAACAACAAACCAACCAACAAACTTTCCAGTGGATCCTAGAAAGCATGATTAAAACAGGCGTAAACATCAGCTTTCATGTTGCTTCCTATTCATCAACGTGAAGTGACAGAAATTATAAATAATATGCATGGAATAACACATTTAAAGAAGTTGCATATTACTTGACACTGCATATGGATTTATGTCTCACCCAATAACTGCCAACTCGAAAATGTGAACATAATACTTCCAGAGTGAAACCCTAGCTTTGAAGGGATGAAATGTGTTAAAGAGCTGACAACCTAACGAATCACTTTTGCTTTACTGTCACGAACGGATTATTATTTGACATTCCTAATGCTACTCAACAGAATAACTTAACTTTGAGAGGCGAAATAACCAGACGTTTCTGTACCACGGTTGCAATATGTTCCTGACACAAAATCTATAACGGTTGCTTGGATTACTGACTTACTTCGAAGTGGATTGTCAACATGTCATTAAGTATCTTTATTTTGAGTTGTTGCTGTTGATCATCTTCCAAAGCAGTTGTGAAATATTACATTGGGCAATTTTGAAACTGCTCAGATATGGAGCTTGATTGTGTCGGTACTGATAAACGCAATGATGTTCTGTTATCGACCTCTTATGGGAATGATCTTTGGGAATTTACTTAGTAACAAAACTGAAAATGGCTTTTTTGACAGTTGCATTTTTAATTCACAATTTGGAAAGGAACATTTGTGACAGGTAAATAAACTGAAAAAAATTAACCCCGCCGTGGTTCCTTTACGAGAAATATAATCTTTTCCTTAGCTGATCTGTTTTCTTCTTAGGATACATGAAGACATTGTGACACATATTGCATATACATGCATTATCGATTCCCAATTTAGAAGGTTAAAGCCAACCTTTCAGTTAGTACATACTGTCACTGTGAAAAGAAGATCAATTGACAAAACGCCTATAGTTTGGAGTTGGGAAATACAGCAGCAATGCTCACAGGTCCCATGATTAATAACACTTCTCGTGCGAATGTCAATAATTTGTCTCTACTAAATGTTCTGGAATGTTTCTATATTTCAATCCAGACTACTCCAGGAAGCTGTGATTTTGGACAAGTATTCTAAGCGCATTTTGCAAGTGGATAACGCGCTGTCTCCTGTCAATTTTCTGTCAAACTTGCACCTGCTGAAACTTCTCAAAAGATGAAGTTTGTTATGTTTATTTACGCAGTCAGGGGAGGTAACTGTTATCACACATCCTGAAAATGGACCAAGACTTAACAAAAGTAATACCTGAAGACTTTATGTCTGAACGTTATTTTAATTTCACACACACACATACACTGATGCATCGAAGGAACCTACCAATGTTACTGTTGGGGCTTTTTGGAGACCCTATTGCTCCATCACTAAGGTGTTCAGATTCCCTCATTATCTGAACTTTGCAACCATTTTGCAAGCCAAAAGATTTGTAGATGAACACGACCATGAAGCAATTACCTTACAGATTCCATTGCAGCAAATAAAGCTGTATAAGCTCGTGCACATGGATCCAGAGGTGACATTGTTTATGACATATTAAGGTTGGATAAATTTCTAAACACGTAGTACATTCCAGCACTTGTTGGAAAACATGGGGATGAGGTCGTAGATATATTGGCCAAATCCGGATTACAGTTCATTTCAGGTGATGTATAAGAATTTCGACCAAGCCCTGAAGATTTTGAGACTGTTTAATCGAAATCTATTTTAAGGTGTTGGCAGCAGTTGTGGGATGTTGGCACTACCGGCGACATGTGTACAAATTTAGACCATCTTTATGTCTGGTCATAATATCCGTCGTCGTAAAAGGCGTGGTTAGGTCATTCGGACGCGACTCCGACTTGGACATTGTGTGCCCAATCCCTTCAAGAGTATCGTTGATAAGACGGTTTCTTCTAAATGTGGCCGTTGCGATATGGAGACGCCTGAAAATGTTGAATACCATCTTATCAAATGACATTAGCATAAGAGCATAAGACAAAAAACTCTCAATAGTGCTGCACTTGGTTAATGATGTATTTTCTTAGTAACAGTTTTGGGCTCCAATAGTCAGTTGTATGGGCCCGTGCAACGGGCAGCTTTTAATATGACGTAATTTAGATAGGATTTCAAATTTATCAGACACATATTTAGCTCTAATATTTCAAGTGATTTTTATATGTTTCAGAAATGAAAGTGTACACTTGAGGTTTTAAGCATCTTTTTTCCCATCACTAAAATCATATGAATATGTGTTTTCAAACGGATGTTAAAAATTCTGACATCTCCTTTATGTTGATATCAAAACGATTCTACTTGGTCTTCTTCTTGTGGTAGGTTGGTTTCTTGTTGTACGCCGCACTCAGCAATATTCCAGCTATATGACGGCGGTCTGTAAATCATCGAGTCAGGACCAGAGACTCCAGTGATCAACAGCATGAGCAACCATCTACGCAATGGGGATACTATGACATATGTCAACCAAGTCAGCGAGCCTAACCAGCCGACACCGTTCGATCCCAAGCATGATTTACTGAAGACCAATACTAACCCGGATCTCCACGGGTCTAATACCTTGTGATTCTTATTAAGTCAAGTCAATGCGTTGGGCTCAAATATGCTAAACATATAACACCACCACCAACAACGGAGGGGTTATGTGTATGGAGGGGTTATACAATGTAAACTGAAATGTAAGGATCATAGTTCCTATAGAGATAATGTTGAAAAAAATCTGGGCAAATAGATAAACATGGAAGTTTGTGCATCATAAAAGTATGGTTAATTTTTAAATTTTCACGTTTTGTTTGAGTGATCAAAGGACACGCATCGAACGTGCATTTCTAAAGGATTTAGCAAATGCCATAACAGTATTCGCAATTATACAACACTTGACGGCTATTACACATTTGTATTGTAGTGCAAGATGCATACAATTTTTGGCGAAGAGACGACATCTTGCGTCTATTTTCTTGGATGGCATCGTGGGTCTTTCAAGATTAAACTTATGCAGAAACCATGTGTCCTATACATGGTCCAAACCCCTCTTCTGCTATTTCCACGTGTTTATACCATTATAGATGATTGTGACTGAATCGTGACTCTTATTTATCCTTGACATTTCATTTAGATTATTCTATAAGCAAGTCAAGCGTAGCTGTAAGTTC